CTCCCTTGGTAAATAAAATCATCATTTAGAAACTGCATTTTCTATTTCCTTGGGTTGTCTCTGTGTCATACTAAAATTGGTTTGATGATCTGAAACCTTTGTGTGTGATAAATATGCAAAAAACACAGAAACCAGGAAGGGGGCAAATACTTTTTCACGGCACTGTACACTGCCAATATCATTAGTTTTCAAAATGTCCAATTAGTCAGCTTCACACCTATTACTAAGTCCAGAAAGATTTTATACATTACATTAATCAATCAGAGGGTGAAATACAGTACATATGACAAAGGATTAAAGGGGTTTGCCATATATTAGGAACCAGAAAAAGGTAGCCATTTACTATTATATGTAGTAGTCAACATCGTCAACCAATGAAAAAAAAAAACAATTGAGTTTTTCACGTTTGATACCAATACTGCAAATTCGAGTATGTGCTGATACTGATATCCATCCAATACCTTTTCTCCTTGAGCATGTTGCGAGCTGCGCTTATTGAACTTGGGTATTGGATCAAATGGGCTATAGTTGTATTTTTTAACAATCTTTCCTTAAATTTAGATCAGATACTGATACAGAGTATCGGATGAAGCCATCCCCACTATTAAGCGGTCAGTGTTACATTTTGGTTAACATGTCTATGAAGATTCTCAGTCATCCAGGTCATGGTCAAGGTTGAAGAGTTCTGTTAGGGAACTGGACGTGAATTTTCTCAAAGAAGACGTTTCGCCGCATATCTAAGAGGCTTCTTCAGTTCTAACTGGTGATGGGGAGTATAGCAAATATATACTCTGGGTGTGACAAAGGATAAAGCTACTTCAGCTCCCCCCTGTTGGGTGGGGCGTTGGGGTCAACTGGGAAAGTGTAAACAGTCGTTAGGAGCCTGATGGGTTGTTGTGATCCTCATCAGAATGGTTTCGGTCACATTCCCCTTTGTTGTGGGAAACTGAGGAGAATCGTTTGGGTATTGTTCCTAAGAGTGCTTTGTATATGAGTGATAGGTTGTGTCTTATCCCACCTCTTCTGTTTTACCCTTCTCTCAAACCATCTGTCTTCCTTGGCCAAAATGTGAACATTGTTGTCCTCAAAGGAGTGTGTTTTGTCCTTGAGGTGTATGTGAACAGCCGAGTCCTGTCCTGAGGAGTTGGCTCTCCCATGTTGGGCCATGCGCCTGTGTAGCGGTTGTTTGGTCTCCCCAATGTACAGGTCCGTACACTCTTCACTGCACTGAATGGCATAAACCACAGCTTGTTTTTTGGTGTCTTGTCTTTGGGATGAACCAGTTTTTGCCTCAGGGTGTTACCGGGTTTGAAGTGTACAGGGATCTGGTGTTGGTTAAAGATCCTCCTGAGTTTTTCCGAAACTTTCCTCCCTCTTTATGGGCCTCTTTTTGTTAGTTTTTAAAAAAGCTCATCTGGGATAGCCACAGGTCTTAAGGGCTGTCCTAATGTCTCCCTGTTCTCCCATCCTAAGTCTGTTGGTGGTGGGAATGGTGTCTGCCCGTGACTGTAGGGTTCTGATGACTACTAATTTGTTCACCAGTGGGTGGTGCGAGTCAAAACGGAGATACTGGTCGGTGTGAGTTAGTTTCCTCTACACCTCTATGTTGAGGTGTCTATCCTCTGTGATATGAACCTCACAGTCCAGGAATGCAAGACTGTTGTTTTTCACATCTTCTCTGGTGAACTTGATGTTCCTGTCCACCTCGTTGATGTGGTCTGTGAAGTTGTTGACCTCATGGACCTTGATTTTGACCCAGGTGTCGTCCACATATCGGAACCAGTGGCTGGGTGATGTTCCCACGTAGGAGTGTAGCGCTCGGCTCTCCACTTCCTCCATGTAAAGATGCGCTACTATGGGAGACACAGGAGAGCCCATAGCGCAGCCATGCTTCTGTCTGTAAAAAAACTCGTTGAACTGGAAGTAAGTAGTGGTGAGGCAGAAATCCAGAAGGGCACAAATGTGGTCAATGGTCAGGTAAGTTCTTACCAGCAGGGTGTGGTCTTGTTTTGGTTAACAATTCAGTGGAAAAAAGAATTTTTTCCATTTCAGAGTATTTTGTAATGAACTTTAAGTGCTGGACTACTTATTACTGTTTTATTAGATTATGTTGTGTCTCTATAATCCCATGTGGAAGAGTGTAAATGACATTTCCTTCCTAAAAGTAATAAATTAATCCATGATTTATCAAGTCACCTTTTGTTGCACATAATCCAGAATGTTTTTGAAGTCCAGGTCGTCGTAGTAGTGTTTGATTCCTTCTCGTATGCTGCTCTGGAACAAGGCAATGGTCTGAATGCAGCAGAAAACGGTGGTGGTCATAGGGTGAGATAGGGTAAAAAAAACAGCAAGGTGACCCAACTGTGACAACAGGCTGTCATTTGAGACAGAGTAGAACCGCAAGCAGTGTAATCTATGAGAACTACAGACACTAAGCCATTTACCTTCTTTTCAAATATCAGAGCAGCTGTGAGTGCAATGGCCTGCAGGAGCAGCAACACACAGAGGACACACAGGAACTGTGGAGGAAGAAGACAGAATCCTTAGAGTAACAGAATGTACGACCCACACCAAAGAGTCCTGCACTTCTACAGCTCTTTATAGAGTTAGTGTACAAGCCCACATCAATCTGAATATGAAAAAATAAAATAGCCAATATTTTGGGTCTTTCTCTTTGCATCCCTTTGTTTACCGCATTTTCCGGACCATAAGGCGCACCGCATTATAAGGCACACTATCAATGAACGGGAATATTTTCATACATAAGGTGCACCGGGTTATAAGGTGCATTAAGCAGAACAAAACAGTCAGTGAAACAATTAAGCGGAACAATCAAGCATGCCCGGATCCCTCTCGTCATTCTCTGATTCAGTCTCGTTGCTGTTAATTAGCTGTTCAGTGATGATTCCGGCCTTCGTGAAAGCTCGGACGACATGTCGGACTAATACCTTAGCCAAGGCATCCACGATCTATAAGCAGATAGTGGCGTAACCCACCCAGCGTTGCCTCCCTGTCTTAGTGAATGTGTGTTCGCCTTCTGTCATCCAATGCTCCCAGGCAGCTTGCAATTTAACTTTGAACGCCCTGTTAACACCAATATTTAGCGGTTGGAATTCTGTGGTTAATCCACCCGGAATGATGGCAAGCCCCGAATTAATTTGCTTCACTTGGGTTTTGACAATGAGATGGGCACGCATGGACCAATAGGGATGGAGATTTGTGGAAAAGGGTAGTGACCTAAGTTGGACACTGGAGGACGCGGTTGTTGTTGTTGTTGGCCCCTCCAGAGTCAGCCGGTTGTCACTATTTTTGTTCTGGGTGGTCACCTTATTGTTGTTTTGACGCTGTTCCGTGCGGAAGTGCGGATGTTGTTTTGCAGGGAGAGTGTGTGTTTTTCCTGTATCGATAAAAAAAGCAGAAATAAAAAGAGTTTTTGACCACGAAAAAATCGACAGCCATGCGTCTGAGTCGTCCTGCATCGCACCATACATCAAAAACACAACTCCGTCTCCGGGTGTTTGGAGGCACGACGCGACGTTGCACGGATATGGGTTACACAACCATACTGTAACAATTGTTGTTGATCATCTTCTAATTGTGATAACAGAGTTAAACGTAGTGGCGCTTTGGCCCAGAGGCAATGTCTCTGTCATTGGTGTGGAACCCCAGGGTTCACCTCCTGGGAAAGTTCGAATCCCGGTTAGGGCGGTTGGTACCTTCCAGTGGACTCACCACCCGCAGGAAGGTTTGGTACGGTGCAATGTGATTTGGGTGGCGACTGCTGCCCCCGCGACCCGGTAACGGATAAGCGGATGAAAATGGATGGATGGATGGATGGAGTTAAACGTCATTGTTGGCTCCCAGTGTGCTTTAGTTGTGTGTCATCATGTGTGATGCGCTGTGTGGTTTGGCTTTATAAAATCGGTTCGAGCTCAGTAAGCGCAGAAGTAATACATAAGGCACACCAGGTTATAAGGCACATTGTCAAGTTTTGAGAAAATTAAAGGCTTTTAAGTGCGCCTTATAGTACGGAAAATATGGTACTTCACATAGACTAATTAGAGAAGAACATCCCAACAGCCTTTGAGCTTCTCTGCTGTTTATGCCAACTGCAACAGCTGTCCTTTTGGATGTGAAGAGAAAACTGGGTATCTGAAGCCAAAAATCACTTAAATGCATCATAGTATGTTTACATTACTGTTATTGTTTACATAAGTGACCGTTTGTGCTGCGCGCTGCTTAAAAATTACATCTGCTTCAGTCGAAAAACATTTTATACACCCAGGCATGTCAGTGGACCTACAGTCTACTGCAGCATGTCTATGATTGGGTAACTAGAATAGACTGAACCTAAAGAAAGGACTTTAGTATGCACTGAATGGATTTGTTATTACACACTGCTGTTTCTAAAATATAGGCTACAGTTTCTTTGAGGAGCTTATTCAGAACTGAAGAAGCCTCTTCAATGAGAGGTGAAACGTCTTCAAGACACTCAGTCCAGTTGCCCTCGATGTAACTATTTTTTGATAAGATGACCTGGATGACTGAGAAGCTTACTTCTCATTATGTCACATATCTACGGTGGCTTGTAGAACATGTTGAGAGTTTCTTTCAAAGCTTTGATGATGTCGTTGTCCTCAACAATATTAATCAGTCTACAGTCTCTCACAATCCATTTGACAACTGCGTCAGTGAGCTTGACTTATTTACTGCCTTGTGCTCCATGAAGATGGTCAACTCATCTGACTAGAAGTTAAAGCCTGTAAACTGACAAATGTTTGTATTAACTTACAGTTATAGTCACACTCTCTTCCACCATCATTCCTACCATGTGCAGCAGAGTCTTGTTGTCCCTGAGGGATCCCACCATGCCCACCACCGACACAGTGAACATCACCAGGCCCAGCAGAATTAGCACCACAGCAGGAGCAAGGAAAAGACCCTCCAGGGTGTGGTTCTTCTGTCTCTCCACTTCAGCATAGAGTCCAACACACAGCACACAAAGACCCATAAGCTGAAGGAGAGAAAAATATGTCGTTAAAAAGGAAGTGATGCTTTTGGATGTAAATAGTAATGACCGACACGAGGGATGAAGTATACCTAGAAAAGCTTCTCCTCTTTGGGTTTAAATCGCTTAATAAAAGACACATCACACATTAGTGTAACAAAACTATTAAGATTTCTGTTGTATTAAAAAAAGCTCCCAGCTGCAAGTAAAATGCATTTTATACAAGTATTTACTTCTGGCTTTTCTTCTGTGCTGAGATGACCAGACTAAAAAAAAAAAAATCACAATAGGACATATTGTGATTTTTTTAATAATGTCTGCTTTGCGCTGCGTAAGAAGACTTTCGGCAGAATGAGGCTCGTGTCCACATCAACTATAAGCACTTGCACTTTCTATAATTGTGGAATGAAGTGAAGTGGACATGTTCTCTGTCTTGATAGCAGACACAGACAGGACCAGAGTACAGTGATTTTAACTGCCTTTTTTCCTAAGCAGTTTTTTTATATACATCTTGGTACAATTTCCTTTTATACACAGAAAAAATTGTAGTTACGCATCTGTTATTGAAAGGAAAACCAACAATGGCCATTGAAATAAACAACAATAAACAAAACAAACTATGGAACTGACCAGGACCAAAATGATGGTACCCCTAATTCAATATACTGTTGCACAACCTTCCTCCATGTTTCACATTAGGGACTATGTGCCTTGCCAAAAAGCTCCAGTTTTGTCTCATCTGTCCAAAGGACATTCGCACGGAAGCTTTGTGGCTTGTCAATATGCATTGTGGTATTTCTTTTACGATTTGCTATCAAGAGTTGTGTCCTCCTTGGCATCTCATAAAGTCCACTTTGGCTCAAATAGTGACAGATGGGGTGGTCATTTATGTACCTTGACTTTGGGGTTCACCTTTAATTTATTTGGAGGTTGTTTTGGGCTTTTTGGTTACCATTGGTATTATCTGTAGCTTCAAATTATAATCAATTTCCCTCTTGCGGCCACATCCAGGGAGATTGGCTCCAGTCCTGTTAACCTTAAACTTCTTACCTTTAACATGCTCGTCTATAATTTTCTGTCTAACCTCCTGAGACAACGCTCCCCTTCACCTTCTGTGGTCCATGTGCAGTGCTGTATACATACGAGTGACTACTTTTCACTCATTAAATAGGCAGACAAATTTGTAGAAATTTCTGATGTTGAAGTTTTTCAATCTTTTCTAGGGTTACCATTTGTTTTTTGTTTTATGACTCTGTTGAACCACAATTCAAGCACAATGTCTGATTTCATTGGTTAATTTTTAGATTTTTTTTTCTATTTATTATTACTTTTGTGGTGGCGATTTGGTCCAGAGGCAAAGTCTCTGCCATTGGTGTGGAACCCCAGGGTTCACCTCCTGGGCAAGATCAAATCCCTGTTAAGGCGGTTGGTACCTTCCAGTGGACTCACCACCCGCAGGAAGGTTCAGGGAGGTTGGTACGGTGCAATGTGATTTGGGTGGCGACTTCTGCCCCCACAACGGTAATGAATAACCGGACGAAAATGGATGGATGGATATTACTTTTGTCAGTTTCAAGTTATTTGGACACACTAGATTTATAATCTGAATTGTATCTCTTAGTGTGTCATAAAACAAGAAATATGTTGAAAAATGAATTGAATTGCTGTTCAGAAACCCTAATTCATCTCATTTAAGTAAAGTCAATAGATATAGGGGATTAAACAATATTAATGTTCCTACTGAAAAGAGGCGGAAACTGGCTCCCACTTCCTACTTACAGTGGCTTGAAAAAGTATTCATACCCCTTGAACTTTCCCACATTCTGTCACGTTTCGACCACAAACATAAATATATTTTATTGGCATTTTAGATAAAAGATCAACATAAAGCGACACACAATTGTGAAGTAGAAGGAAAATTATACATGACTTTAAATTGTTTTTAGAAATAAAAAACTGAAAAATGTGGCGTGCAAAAGTATTCAGCCCCCTTT